AACACTGAAGAGGCCCAAGAGATAGTTCCTTAACACACCTTAACAGTTTGGTAGTTCAAGAAGAAGGAAGTTATTCAGAAACACTTCAGCAAGCAGGTCAAGTTCTTCTAACAACTGGCTATGAGCCACTTGGAGGTTTTTGCATGATCTGCAGGGCTCAATGCATATGCTCCCATCTGTTCCTTATGGGAAGTCACAATTCTCTGTTTATGATATGCTGGAATAGATGTCTCAGTCAAAGAGGGCAGAATATTGTACATCCACTCACCCATAAATTTATGGGGGTTTTTTTCTTAGTTATCCAAATTCTGTCTTCAGCAATATCTAAACACAAATTACTCCATCAACTTCCAGCCCCTAACCCCAAGAAAATGGGATCAATTTGCAAAATAAATTAATTATCAGAGAAGTTAATCTTATTAAAAAACAGAACTTCTAGAGAAGGAATATACTGGGAAGGAACACGATGATGAGCTGCCATGGGAAAAATCAAAAGACTGCAGGCAAGAAAGCATAGCTTACAGAAGTAAAACAAAAATTTAAGAGCATTCCTTAATTCATTAAGAAATAGACTGGCCACATAAACCAGCAGCAAGATAAATTTAAGAAGTACCCTGAAATCATCACGTAAACTATAGTGTTCATTTCACAGACAACTATAACGTGACAGACAACAGAGAATTCAATTACAGAATGACTTGTTGGTTGCAACAAGGTGGTAAGAAATAAAAAAAATCCACAACTTTAAAATGTCTTTATATATACAGAACATTTATCAAAGTTTTCCATTAGATGAAAGTAAGCCTTCAGAGCTTCCATCTCCCAAACAGTTAAAAAAGTGATATAAAATTGTGCTATGCATAAGTGAGAATAATTTAAACTACTTAAAACAAACACAATTACATTTCAGCACCGAGTATTTTGAAGGGTGTATTATTTGATTAGCTGGTTAACATTAACTAGTGTGGTCTAACAGAAGTTTATTTCAACACTAACAGCACTTTCCTCGGAAAATACTTAAGTAATTTCTTTAAACTCTGAAGTATCATGGTAACATAAATACCTACAACTACATTTAAAATATTAACCATTAGTAGTAATTGATTGTATACTCCTTCTATTGGAAGGGAACACAACAATAATACCTTCTGGAATCAGACTTAGGTGACAATCTTTCAGGCTTGATGCTTTGACCATCTTCATCCAACTTCAAGGAAATGTGACTGGATACCCTCACACCTCTCTGAGCTGGAGACTGCTTTTTAACTGTCATTTCTGAAATAACGTTGCTGAAATTAAAAACATAAATGTAAAAACTCAAGAAATTCACAAAGCAAGGAAGTTTGTCATATGTATTGACCAGAAACTCTACTGTCAATTGGTTTCATAAGCCTCTACAAGACAGAATCATACATTCCAAAATACACCCATTTTTAAGTCATTAAACACTCAAGTCTTACTTTTTAAACCACCTCAGTTGTTAACATCTATATAGACTAAATGAAAAGTGCTATTTTAGCCTACTAAATCTACAATGAATGCTTTCTTTGAAACTATTTAGTTTTCAACTAAAAGAAAAAAATCATGTATCTGCATACCAACATTCACAAAGGTATGTTTTGCTTAAGCAAATAAGGAATTTCTCTGGATACAAGAAATACACTGAAATAAGGAGGTAAAATTCACCAGTTTTTTTGGACAGAAACCAACACTGCCCAGGGACAGAGCTGTGCTGCTGCAGACCAAAAGGAAGCTTGCCTTCAGACATCAGCTGACACGGGTCAATCAAGCCACCCTAATAAGTAGGTCACCTTTCCTGATCCTCTGCAATCTGTTGCACTGCATAATCATATTATAGCTTTAACAGATCACATCTTCCTTAATAATTCTGTAGTCAAAATCATAAGTGAAGAACAAGTGCTCTGATCTCTCCCAGCACAGTTTGCAGCTCATTCTGAACGCAAAGAGGAAAACACACCACCTTTCTGCCTCCACTGATTTGTCTCCTTAACCAGTAAGTCTGTTGGTCGGTAAAGACTAAGATGATAATTCTTACTCACAGCTATCCTCTCCTCCCAACTGCTTCCAGTAACAAACAGCTATCCAAAACTGCAGCTCTTCGAGTTTTAAGAGAAAAATACGGTCCCAAAACAAAAAAAAAAGCCAAGTCAAAAATACTGCATATCCATGTTATGAAAATCTAAATGAAGTTCAAACTATGGTTTAGGTAGCTTAAGCCAAAAGAGATTTTATTAACAAGAAAGAAATACTTCTGGAAAACTGTAAAAGCTAATTGCCACAGCAACACAGTAGGATTTTCTCTTCTGTCTTAGATGTGTTTCCAAATGGCAGAACAAGAATTGCAGAGCGTTTCAAGTACCTACTCTGAATGAAAGGCATCAGAAAACAAGTTTTAAATCATTTAATTTTAACCTTAAAGAAAAAGCAATCTCAAACTAGTCACATATCTCACACTAGAAATTACTCTATGAAGTGCCTACTGGCATTGGTGAGTTGGTGTTGGGCCAGAAGCCTGACATACTTGTGAGGGTCAAGAGGACATAATTCCTAAGGTCAGTCACACACAGCCCAGCCCAACTGCTTGGCTGCGACCTACAAGGCTGGAGTGCTCCTGCACTACAGGGGGATGAGGCTTCCTTGGAGAGGCTCTTCTCATAGCTGACCTTGATTTATTTGTCTTTTGCACAGTAGGTCTGGACAGACTATGCTACCAAGCTATCAGAAGATGTAGTCGATGGTATCATATTCCCACTGGAAAGTCCTAATGTCACCCCATCATTGGCATATGAACATTTCTGGAAGCAACATTCACCACTCCATCAAATAAAAGTGCCCCTGTATTCAATAAAAATAAAACTACAAAGATGTTTTGAAGGTCTTTGTAATGAAAAACATCCGATTACAAATTCATACTCCAACCCCAGTGTACCTACAGTGGTTAGATATTACATTATATTACCTCACGTCACAACATGAGGTCAGAACAATAAGCTCCTAGATACTTTGACCTTCCAGGGATGGCAAGAGGTAGAGATTTTGTAACAAGCAGAGATTCTCTCTCCTTCCTGATCACCAGTCAATAACTATAACACTAGAAATGGAGACCCAAGGAGCTGTGGATATACTTTAATCTGAGCTCTGAATTACTTTACCACCTCTACACCCGAAACAGAAGCTGAAATTTCAATTTGTAGTGCCGCTGATTCTATTTTGGTACAGTGCTGCTGTAATTTCCATTGAGTGAAACTTCATCCCACACTGAGAAAAATAAATTCTTGTATCATTAATATTTTCCTCTCCTAGTGAACACGCTGTCCTCACACTGTCTACAAAACAAGGCGATGAGGTGACTGTGTACAACAGTGACCTCTGGAGTCCGTGCCACAATCCTGGAAAAAAGAATTAGTACGAACCAAAAGACTCAGACAACGTACAATTTATTTCATGCCCCCACACCTCTCAACAGCAGTATCCCAATTTTTTGCAGCTGAGCATTATAAGGCTCTACTGCTTGTGAAGGTACCTTATTTTTAAATACATTTAAATAACAGAGAAATATATATTGGTTTTTAAAATGTGTCAGCATATTGAGCGCAAAACCTTTATGGAAAAAAAAAAATTAAAGTTAAACTTTCCATATTCTCTTCTTGTCAAGTAAAAATCAACACAAAATATTTATACAAAATCATGTATAAATAAAAGTAATGCTTTCTAATATATTAAAAGAATACTAGTGCCTTCTGCTGGACTTTTAAAAATCAACAGTTTTAACACTGATCAGAAAGCTGAAAGTACCAAATTCATCTCGGAATGTAACTGTGAAAGGTTACTATTAATCAAGTTTTCAGTCATGAAAATCAGCAGGAGTTGCTGGTCTTTCTAGAAAACTCATCCATTGAGAGAGTTTCAAACTGTTGCCTAACTATTATGGAAGAAAACAGAACCTTTACCGTATAATGTCTTCATCAATGACAAAGAGAGTGGGACTGAGCGCACCCTCAGCAAGTCTGCAGAAAACACCAAGCTGAGTGGTGCAGCTGACATGCCTGAGGGACAGGATGCCATCAAGAGGGACCCGGACAAACCCAAGAAGTGGGCCCATATGAACCTCATGAGGTTCAACAAGGCCAAGTACAAGGTCCTGCACCTGGGTCAGAGAAATCCCTGGTGTCCATACAGGCTGAGGGATGAAGGGATTGAGAGCAGCCCTGACAAGAAGGACTTCAAGATCCTTGTGGATGAAAAGCTGGACATGAGCCAACAATGTGCACTCACAGCTCAGAAAGCCACCTGGCTTCATAAAAAGAAGCGTGGCCACCAGGTTGAGGGAGGTAATTCTGCCCCTCTACTCCGCTCTGGTGAAACTCCACCTGGAGTACTGTGTCCAGCTCTGGAGTCCTCAGCACAACAAAGACATGGACCTGTTGGACCAGGTCCAGAGGAGGGCCACAAAAATAATCAGAGGGATGGAACACCTCTCTTATGAATAAAGGCTGACAGTTGGGGTTGTTCAGCCTGGAGAAGAGAAGGCTCCAGGGAGACCTTATTGCAGACTTTCAGTACTTAAAGGGGGCTTACAGGAAAGATAGGGACAAACTTTTTAGCAGGACCCATGGTGACAGGACAAGGAATAATGGTTTTAAACTAAAAGAGGGTAGATTTAAACTAGATACAGGGAAGAAATTTTTTACACTGAGGGTGATGAAACACTGGGACAGGTTGCCCAGAGAGGTGGTAGATGTCCCGTCCCTGGAAACATTCAAGGTCAGGTTGGATGGGGCTCCAAGCATCCTGATCTAGTTGAAGATGTCCCTGCTCACTGCAGGGGAGTTGGACTAGATGACCTTTAAAGGTTCCTTCCAAGCTAAACCATTCCATGACTCTTTTCAACATATAATAAAAAACATTAACATATATTCCCAGGCAGAAGCAAGCTTCACAAATCTGCCACAGGGAGTAGAACTTGCCAACTCAAATCAGAGCAAGCCAGCTACGACATTCCTAGCCAACCAAAAAGGCCAGTTTTGGTTGAGGAAAATGCATTTTTCTAACCATAGTGATTCATCCACACGCATGTTATAAGATATTGTAATAGTAGAACTTAACACATCAACCAACTCTACAGAGGCACTATATAGTTGCAGGGACAAAAAAGCACCTTTTTGCTTAGGCTACAACTTCCTTAAATGCCTTCCTTCTTCCACAGCAGCCACAGCTGGGTAAGTGCTTCAGGGAAAGTGCAGTGGGTGGTGAGGAGAACGTGCCCTTGTTGCCAGTAGGCACAGCAACCACATTTAGAGATGAGTATGTATAGCTTAAGGAACAGATGCGGGCCCATACGAGGTTAGCCACTGCACATATTAGCTCAGTCAGTATCAGAATGCTCCTCCAACGTCTTATCAGGTACTGAAGTAGGTTCTAATTTTAAGTTGGTCACCCACAGCCAATGCCATTGTACTCTGCTCTTCTGAAAACCCCAGTGACAGAGATGGAACAACCTCACTGGTAATTAATAGTTTAATGAACACATGCTTTATATAAAATAGTACTTATTTATTCTCCTTACATTAGGATGTGTTTCTTAAGCTGTTGTTAATACTGCACACACAAAAAAACAAAATACAAATAAAGAAGATGAAACACCTCAATTTTACACAAAACAGACAGACCTCTCAACTTTAAAGCTACTCATTTTGGCTCCAAAAGCCTGTGGTGAGATAAACTCTCAAGATCTCCTATATTCAGGCTGAGAGGACATTATGAAAACAGAGCACATACAGCCTTTGGAGACACTTGCATGTACTACCTAAAATCGTATTTCCTCCTCAAATAGGACAGACTTCACATGTTTGGAGAGAATTTCATTCTGCTCTCCACAACCACCACTAGTGCTCTTGGTAGAGAACCACGAATACAAGCTAAAAGGGAAGCTGGCATAGTTTCTCCCTTTTCCCTTTACAACCTCTGAAAAACACGGCATTTTGTTTAACCAAGTTATTCACTGCACGCTGTAACTCAGCCTATTTGCAAGTATCCATCACATCTTCCTTAGTTTTCCGCCACTTAAAAAATCAGACGTTAGCCACAAACATCATTAGCTTGTTGGCTGCTCTGTTTGCAGTTCACTGATAAACATACGAAGCAGATCCTTTACTGATCCTTAGAGCGACCTACAAATACTCATATATGGGTCAAACTTAAATCCTGGTTTGGGACAAATTCATTTTCAAAGAACAAATTAAAACTAAGATGATAAGCAGCCTGAAGTTCACACTGGAAACAGCCATAAATAAAGGTTTCACACTCCCATTTTTCTGAAGATACAATTTTCTGATTAGTGCAGCATTTCACCTGGATTTAATGCCTTATTTTCTGAGTAGTTATCTGAATACTAGCTGGGGGAAAAAAAAAAGAACAAAAAAATCTGTCTTTAACCATCATCCAAAAGAGCAGTACGCACAACTGTTTCAGTTTCCAAACAAATGTTTCTCATCTGTTTGAAAACCACACTGGAAACGGAGTTAAGCCAAGAGATGAGTTTCTTGGGTTGACTGGAAAATTTTGAAAGGAAGGGTGGTGCTATGAATAGAGCTGCTCTAGTTCAGTTCTGCAGAGCTGTCACGAAAATTCACCCATCCAGACAGAATGTCTGAACATTTACAAATCCATCCATTGTGTGAGAATTTTGGAAGCTTGGGGAATAAAAAAAAAACCCAAACAAACCCAAACCTGTTATTTTGCTAGCTTGTCCAAGAAAGTAATGACCCTGAGCAGGAAAACAATTCCATTTCTGCAAAACCATTTTAGAATGAGGATAGCAAAATTTAGGGAGTTTGACCAACGATTTTCCCATTATTCATTAATTCCAAGTATAACCTGTCCAAATGCACCTTTTAAGGCCATCTTTCCAACACAGAACCCAGTCACCTTCAAGATGACATGGCAAAATCAAAATTTCACATGTTACTGAGAATAACATTCAATATACAGACCGTATGTTAATAGTTCCCCCCTTTTTCTGTTCATCTGTGGTTTCTTCGTGTCGTCTTAGTTGTGCAAGTAGTTCTGATTCTGTCTGTTTCTTGTTGAGTGGCAGGGAAGATGCAACTGCAGAAACAGCCTCCACCAGTTCTGGATTTAAAGGCTTGCTTCTGTAAGAGATGTAACAGATATGGATATATATATATATATATAAAAATAAAAGCCTCAATATATTCAAATTGTCATTTCTGTACTGTCATTTTATGTCTTAATAACACAGAAGTTACAGCTACACAATGTCCCAAATGGGGGTGCAGGTGGACAGAGGGAAGTTTAGGTTTACCCTATGTTGCACTAATTATAAGCTGATAAATGATACTGACAAACTGTTGTACTCAAGTGGCCAAAGACTACAGGCAGCACAGACCTGCAAGACTATAAACACAATGTGGTGGGGAGCCATCCACGAGTCTCAACACTCATGATGTCATTCTTAATCTTGTGTTTGTTTTTTTTTCCCTTTTTCCTCAGTTTTATTGTATTTTATCTGAACAGCACTTTCTCCCTCCCATTAAAATAACTTCCCACAGGCAGCTGCTAGTGCTGCCATGCAAGAGTCTCAGTGCAGAAAAAGGTAACATACTGCAGAAAGCACACATCATCTTTTATCCAGATTCTGCCCTGTGACTTTCTGCAATCTCCATCTACACTACATTCCCTTACAAGACTCTCCTCCATACTTGGAAATGGCATTTGATGCTTTATTTCATCCTAGATAACGGGGGGGGCGGGGGGAGAAAAGAGACTAAAAGTTTGTTATACTTTACCGCTGGGTATGTTCTGTAGTTTTCTGAAGCATGCTACTTTCACTGTCCAGACCTTCCAGCTTTTTTGTGGCTTGCTTTTTGATCTCATGTGTTTTTAACTGTTGGAGCTTCTTCCTGTAGCTCACTTCTACTTTCATACTACCAATAATGTCTAACAATTTCTGCTTTGGTGTTTCTGCTACACCCTCCTGCCTCTTTGATGCCACTTCAGTGGTGCTGGTTTTGGAAGTGGTAGATTCATCTTTCTCAGCAGAAAGCACGCTGTTTGTGCTGAAGAGTTTCTGTATTTTTCTAGATGATAAACAAAGTTAAAAAAAAATAAGTAAATACACAAAATATCAGAAGTTACAAATAGGGTCCAAGGCTGAATTTTATAAGCCCACAAAAAAACCCCATCAGTTACAACCATGTAGGCCTAACTAAGTGCAAACTGGGTATGTTAAGTACACGTCAAACATGTACCTTTTGCCTTTTGAGGAGGGCTAGGGCACTATTTAAATCTCTTGATTATTTCTAGTTTCTTCATCGCACAAATCATATGAACAACTTTACTTCCTCCACAAATAAATTGTGCTTAATCTAGGGACTTAAAACTTCTAAAGCATCCCTGCATCCGGTATCAGACAGAGAGTTTGAAGGTACTGGTACCTGGTTCTTAAATTTATTAGCAGTATAGAAAACTCACTCCAAGTCTTAAAATGAGGCAACAAATAGATCGCTCCTAGCAACCTGGAAAAAAGATTGTACACACACATCTAGTTTCACATTGTTTTACACTACAATGGACCACATTCCCCTACCCTACGTACTGCAATAGAGCAGCCAAGCGTTTGTGCAGCCTTATGAGGAAATGGATCCTGCCACAGGATAACCCAGTAACAAACAAAAAAGGGTTTTTTTGTTATTTTCCCACCTGGAGCAGCTCCTCTACCTAGTATACCACATCACTGCAAAGATGCTAAAATTGGCATGGAGCAGGTGAGGACGTGAAGCCAGGGAGAGCAGAGAGCTGCTGCAACACAGACACAACTGCATTCTCTGGAAAAACTATCATAAAATTCAAAGGACTGTTCTCTTTAACATTCTAAAATGAAATGTTTAAATCTTTAAATTCACAACTACTTTTTTTTGTTTAAAAATCACCCTTAAGTTCCTAAAATTAATTTTAAAGACCTTACAATTAAATATTTATTTTGATTCAAAATAAAACACTTCAAAAGATCTGAAAGAATTCAAAGAATCATAGAATGGTTTGGGTTGGAAGGGACCTTAAAGATCATCTAGTTCCAGCCTCCCTGTCATGAGCAGGGACACCTTCCACTAACCAGGTTGCTCTGAAATACCTTCCCCTCCTCACACACACCTCTCTGGATAAAAAAGAAAATGCTGCTAGTATCATCAGGCATCTCATTATTACTTCGAGTCCCTCTGCACTTAATAAATTGTCAGCATTAAATCCTAAATTTCAATGTTGAAAAGCAACAGGAAAATTTAAGGACAGCTTCAGAACCACGTTACTGAGAAGACAGTAGGAGTCCTGTTGTTTTACACAGTTATCCTCTACAGATCTTTTTCAAGCATGTTTTTCATTAATTCAGACTGCACGCTCCCTAAAACTATTTATCCATCCAGAGATCTTTGTTTACAGTGTCAGAAAACACAAGTAAGACTGCAAGCCTTAAATGTTTAAAGCCACTAGTACACTGCAGTTTGCATCACTGTATTTCACCTGCCATCACGTTTATCTTCTGTTTGGTAGCCCAGCCTTAGAAATCAAATGCTGCTACAGAAGAAACCGAGTTGCTGTGCACTGAGACTATCACAGTATCGGAGCTTGTGCAAAAATATCAAGGAGCTTTGAAATTTAAAAATAAAAAACTGCACAACTGACTTTTCATTAAAAGCTTTTAATGAAAATCTTATAAAAATAAAATCTTTTAATACAAATAAAAATGAAATTCTAAATACTACTTTTAGGCAGTGCTTTGGGCTAAAAGGGCACAGGCAGCACCACTCTGCAGGTACACACACTGTCCAATAGTGCACCGGGCTCAAGGATGAGCAGGGCGGCAAGGAAACAAGGAAAGCAACACGGGGAACAACCCAAACCCACACCCCTCTGCCTGACT